AATATACTTCGCACTGGGAGCAAAGGAGTGAACATGTATGGGAGAGAGGTCAGAGAAGAGCTTGCAGAAGTCTGAGGCAGAAGAGTGGGGAGGGCTCCGTAATGAGGAGGAGGAGAATGTGCTAGACATGCACTTGGGAAAGGGTATAGAGCAGATTCTAGAGCAGATTCTAGGATATGGGGGGAGGGGGGAGTGTTAGAATCAAGATTTGTATCTCAGGTCCTGGAACTAAGTCCAGGGGTTGTTTTCATTGATGTTAGCCCTGGTGAGAAATACGGGGTGTATTACTAACAATAGGGCAGGCTAACCATACCAGATCTCTGTGGCTTAACACAATCAAGGCCTATGTTTCACACAAGTCAGAGTGTGTAGTGGGGCCAGTGGGTGGGGTGTCTATTTCAGGCTGCTTCTATCTTGTGGCTCCACATCCCCTGTTGCCTTGGAATCATCCAATCGATAGGCCTCAGATAAGGGAGGAGAGCTGTGCCTGAGGTATCAGGGGCCAGCCCTGGAAATGGTGTACATGTTTTCACCCTATTCCCTTAGCCAGAATTCAGGTGTGTGGTCACATGGCCCAGCCTAACTGCAGGGGTGGCTGGGAAGTGAAGTGTGTGTGCCTAGTGGAAAAGGAAATGGGGTTTGATGAACACTTAGCATTGCCTCTGCCACACAGTATTAAATTGAACATAACCAAGTACCTAAATCTGACTTTACCTGAAAGGAATATTTGGGGAGAGCTGGCAGGTAGATATATATGAGAAACAGCATAGACTCTCTTCTTTGGGAAATAAACTGATGTGAGATTGTATCCAAAACAAACAAAACTGAGAAAAGTAAGCTTTGGCCAAATGGCACCATAATGAGTCATTAATATTTAATAAATATCTACTTTATGCCAGAACCTTCTCTTAAACATCACCTGGGGGGGGGGGGTGAAATACCTTTATATTATGCTTTTAATGTGTCATCTCTTTAGCTGTTAATCAAGAAACTGTGAGGTGTAGATATTATCTCAGCATGAGTTCAGGGGCATTTAGTGAGCCAAAAAGCAAAATTGGGAATTGGGCCTGGCCTTAGACTTATAATCTGGTGCATCAGTCACCAGAGTGGTATCTTAACTTTTACAGTAATATATGGACAAGTCCAAACTCCTACATACTAGTAATGTTACAAGGTGGAGTAATTAAGCATGCACTGAGTAGTTGGCAGCTGATTCCATCTTTTTAAGACTTACTGGTGGAATTGTTTCAAGATCAGCTTTGAAGGCAACATGTAGGAAGAGCATCTTGGATAGAATTAGAAGGGAGAAATGGACATGCTGTGCGGCATGCTATGGGATGAAGAACAGAATTGTGGGGATGTCTAGAGTATAGAAAAAAATGAAATGGGGAAATTGACAGAAAGATTAGACAGTGGGTCAAGGATTTTTATTTGCCATGTCAAGTAATAGGGAGTCACTATATTTAGTACTATAAGGAAGTGATATACCCGATGGGTCTAATTATACCATTTTTGGTCCTTGGCTGCCCTGCTGATAGAGTTTGGAACAACAGAATGGGATGAACTAGCCAGATTCTAGCAGGTGGAATACAGAGTTCCTTGGAACACAGCAATGTTCTTCCTGGGGCTCAGGAAGAGCCCCCCAGACACTTAAGGTTCCAAGTTCTCTACAGGACTTGAAAAAACCTTAAGAGATTGAGTCTCTTGCCTGTCAGTCTTGGCTCCTTCATTTCTGAACTTTTGTTCTGATGTGGTTTGAATAAGAAAGTGTTCACCAATTTGGGATTGTGTTATAAAAGTTCCTTTATTAGTCTTATTTTTTTGTAATGAATTATCAGCTTGGCTTATAAAAGCCTGTTTCTCCATAATGAAACCATACCTTCAATTACTAATTAGGACCTAACCACCATTTATGACACTGCTTTTCTTCCATTCAAAGTTTTGAAGCTTGACGTCAGAGATGAATTTTCTATCCACAGAGCAGTGGAAATTTTTGCTTCCTCTATGTCCATGACTATAAAGGAAAGAGGAAGGCTGAGGGAAGTTTCAGGTTAGGACTCCTGTGGAGAGAAAGGGTAAGGGCCTCTCTAGTCAGTAGTTAATAATTATAACTAACATTTGTAGAACACTTTACAATGTACAAAGTGCTTTTGTGTACATGTGATCTTCACAACTCAATGAGTTAAATTATCTTTATCCCTAGTTTAAGGTTAAGGAAATAGTGGTTCAGCCATTTAAAATTGTAGAACCTCTACTTTTTATTTCTATAATCTTGGGCAGACTTGTGTGTGTGTGTGTTTGTGTGTGTGTGTGTGTGTGTGTGTGTGTGTGTGTTAATAAAATGGATGTCATTATACATACTTTGTCAGGTTGTTTTGAAAGTAAATAAGATGATGTAAATAAACAACTTAATGCATAGTAAGAATTCAATAAATTATAGGAATTGAAGCTGGATAATGGGTGAAAAGAGGACTTTAGTAGGATGATGGACAGTGCCAAGATGGGATGAAAAATAAATGTATTCTTTTTAAAAATATATATTTTATTGATTTTTTACAGAGAGGAAGGGAGAGGGATAGA